CCAGAGCTTGTGGGTTGCCTCATGTACCTGATGACGTGCACATGACCAGACCTCGCGTACCCTCTCAGCCTCCTGGCTCGCTACGTGGCTCCCGGTAGGCACCGAAAGGTGCACTGGGATGCTGCAAAGAGGGTACTGCATTACTTGTGCAGTACGTCGGGCATGGGGCTCGTGCTTGGAGGACGGGGTCCAGTTGTCCTCACTAGTCACGCAGACGCTTCTTGGGTTGACGACTCAGCTACGCAGCGATCGTCACAGGGTTACACCTTCAGCCTCGGTTCTGGCTCTGTTTCCTGGCGGTCTACCCGCTCGTCTTCGGTTCTCAGCTCCAGTTGTGAGGCTGAGATCTACGCAGGGGCCATGGCTGCACTGGAGCTACCCTGGCTCACCTACCTGCTGACTGACTTGGGAGAGCAGCCTCATTCGCCTCCAGTTCTGTACGTAGACAACAAGGCCATGATTGCCTTGTGTCAGGAGCACAGACTGGAGCACAGAACGAAGCACATCGCTCTGCGATACTTCCTTGCTCGAGAGTTGCAGCAGCGTGGCCATCTTCGTCTTGCGTACGTGGCCACTAGGGCCAACACTACTGATATATTCACCAAGGCACTTCCGCCTGGTGATCATCAGCGCTTCTCTACTGTGTTAGGCCTTGTGCCTACTTTGCCTCACTTGCTCACTGCGTGATTTTGCGTGTACTGTGATCTATATATATACATGCATGCTTGCACTTGCTAGGGTATGATTACTGTATTGTTTGTTCTCTTTTATATATCTCTGCATGTGAACTGGCCTTGTGGCCCTTTGCTTGTGCTCGGACTGTGTGGTGACTTTGTGATCCGCCCTGAGCTTGCTTTGCTTTTCTTGACTGGTCTTGTGACCACTTGTTCTCCCCCACTTTGCCTATGAGGTGCAAGTCCGGCGATGACAGCTGTCACAAAATTTGACTCAGGGAAGCTTCCTCCACTTCGATTAAACTGATCACGTAGCTCTCTGCACCGGTTGATGTACTGCACCGCATGCTCTCCTTCCTTTATGTGCACATTGTTCAACTGTGACATGAGTCTGCTCTGTGTTACACAGTCCGTTACTTGATAAAGCCGCTTCAGATGTCATGCTAACTCTGCTGAGTTGGCAAACTCCCTGTATGATCTGATGCCTTGCTGTTCAGTGGATGATAGGTTGCGTAGAAGAATGGTGAACGCCATCATCGATTGAAAGGCGAAGCTGTGCTGGTCATCTGGTGTTCCGTTGACTGGATGCTGTATTTCCCCAATGAAGTACTCCCAAATCTGCGCTGCTTCCATCATGAGTCCAAATTCAAAACTCCTGGCGAAGAATTCCTTTCCATCGAAAAGCCTTCAAGTCTGAAACTTCAGTATGTTCCGCATCTGTGCTTGATAGTTTGTTGCGACACCTACTCCAAGTCTGTTTCCATCCTGTTGCTATTGATGTTGTTGCTGTTGCACAGGTGCAGTTCAGGGCACGAACGCCTGAGTGATCCGTATCTGCTGTCGAGGCCGAGCACGGTAAGAAACCGGTTGTTGTCGTATGTATGATGTCCCATCAATGCTCATTGATGCCGTTCCCATCGAGGCCTGCTGTGCCATCTCCTATAGCAGAACCCTCTCCATCTGTTGCAGCGTTAAACACGAAGGACTGGGACTGTCCTCCTACGCCTCCTGGTCCGGTTGCAGATGCAGCTGTTGAAGCAGGGTTTCCGAAGGTTATCCCTGAGAAACCGGAACCAGGTAGTGGTGGTGCAGTGGGCTGATGTGAGCCACCACCTCCACTTTGCAAGTGGGTTTTTTCGTTGTTGCTATCTGTCATGACTGTAAGTTAGCCATGACAATAAAACTTTTGATGACTGAGGATTCGTAAGAAAATAGGAGATCGTAAACTCTCCAGCTCTCATACCATGTTGGGCTGAAAAAATGCCTTCGGATCTTTTGAGAGTTTAGTCTCTGAGATATTGCAGCGGAAGACGGGAATTCCTGTGCTGGTAATTTGTAAGAACAAGAATTGATAATAGATAAAACATACAAGAGCTTTATAGTCTAGGACGTACCTATTCGAAGATGTACCTGTTCATGAAATGAGCTTATATATCGAGTTGACTCTACGAAGAGGTATAATCCTGTGTCATACGAACAGTCTCGCGACTGTTCGTACTACTGCCTGTTAGTCACACGAAGGGAGACCTGCTACAGTAACACACATATATAGAACTACTATGATACTACTATACTATCGAACGCCTGAATTGCTCAAGTCAATTTCCTGTCTTTTTCCAACAGTCACTTCTCAAGTCGCTTGGCAAGAAACACAGCGGCGGGAAATTCTTCAGTAAAAGGGAGCGTGGGAGAAGCCGAAGTTTCGGGATTTACCTGCCTGCGACGATCGATGGGTGAAACATCTTCAAAGCGCCAGTGGGAATTTGCGTGGTATTTTGTTAAACAGCATCGGCGGGAGCAGATTCGACGACGGGGTCAACGGCGTTGATGCCACTAGGATCCGTGAAAGTCGGTCTCGGAATACCCAGGTCTAGTCCCCGGTTCCATGTTATGCCCCCAGATGGGTTCTGGTGAACTGACGGAAACGGCTGGTGACCGAGTGGGCGGCTATAGTACGACCGAAGTTTTCGTAGGAGAAATTCACCTGCAACAGCGGATTTACGGGGTTATGTTTCGACCGACATTTACGGAGTTTTACGCGGGACTTCACAGGCTTTACGGCGAGAAGCGCAGACAATTTCGGACGAGTCTTCGGCGTTTGGTTAAACGCGCGCAACACCGATGAAGGGCAACACCGCGGGAACTACACAGAGCTTTCAAGGGGTACGAAAGACTTATGACGAACTGAAGAAGGCGACAGCAACAGTGAAGGGGGGGAGCGACAGCTGTAAAATTTCATCCCTGCCCAAGAACCATCGGTGAATTACGACAAATCTCGGACAATCCATCCCAACTGTGCTACCGAGAACTCGCCTTCGACCCGCCCATGACAACTGCATTAATTTCAACCACGTTAGGTGCTGCCAGCTGCAGCTGCGGAAAGTACCACCGAAAGTTTTGGTGGAGTAACGACAAATTTCGACAGTTCGAGCAACGTGGATTTTCCGTCACAGTTTCTGGTCTACCTCTTCGGGTTCGCCTTGAAGAATTTTGGGGCACATAATACCTGGATTCGTCATCGACTTTCCACACCGACACGTTTTCACGTGGACTTCTACGCTCAACGCTTTGCTACATGTGACTTAAAACCCAAGACCCGAATTACACAACGAAATCAACAGAAAATTTGTAGGTTCGGAAAACCCCATAAGGAGGTTCGATTGGAAAATCAACAACCAACCTTATTAAAAACCAACTGAAAATCTGGACCAATCGCGTGAAAGTGGTGACACTTCTCCACCCGACTCGGTAATTCTGGCCTGGGCCTTAAGGGCGCGATGCACTTGTGAATTTTAATTCGAAAATTCTTTGGAGCGGGTTTTGGGCGAACTTGCACTTGTTTGGGTGTTGTCGAGCTTGAACACACAAAAACACAGATACCGGCACCCTTTGTCAACTGCACCAAGAATATGTTTTGGGGAACTCGAACTCCCACCAACCATGCGACCAAAAGTGAGGTCGCATGGACACTGTATATATCGCATATCGTTGTTGAACACATATTTTATATAAACTGTCCTTTGCATTAACTGTAGTGTAGCTTCATACTTTGTTGGTGGTGCACCCCTAGCTCTTGCCTATATGTACTGTTCTTCCTATAGTGCATTCATCCCTTCTCAACTTTTCCTCTCGACATCCTCCTTGGCTATGGTTTCTCCTAAGCCTCGTTTTACCTACTATTCTAACATGCTATCAGAGTAGGTCGTTCCTAGAACCTAACATTCATGGGCCCACCACCTACTGCCCTGCTAGCCTAGACCCCGGCCCGTCACCCCTTGGCGTCGCCCCTAGCCCCTAGGCTCGGCCCCTTGGCCCCGTCGCCCCTAGCCGCGCCCCTCGGCCCCGTTGGCCCTGACGCCCCTAGCCGCGCCCTTCGGCCCCGTCAACCCCGTCGCCCCTAGCCGTGCCTCTCGGCCCCATTGGCCCCGTCGCCCCTAGCCGCGCCACTCGGCCCCGTTGGCCCCGTCGCCCCTAGCCGCGCCACTCGGCCCCGTTGGCCCCGTCGCCCCTAGCCGCGCCCCTCGGCCCCGTTGGCCCCGTCGACCCCGTCGCCCCTAGCCGCGCCTCTCGGCCCCGTTGGCCCCGTCGCCCCTAGCCGCGCCCCTCGGCCTCGTTGGCCCCGTCGACCCCGTCGCCCCTAGCCGCGCACCTCGGCCCCGTTGGCCCCGTCGCCCCTAGCCGCGTCCCTCGGCCTCGTTGGCCCCGTCGACCCCGTCGCCCCTAGCCGCGCACCTCGGCCCCGTTGGCCCCGTCGCCCCCGTCGCTCCTGGCCGCGCCCCTCGGCCCCGTTGGCCCCGTCGCCCCTAGCTGCGCCCCTCGGCCCCGTTGGCCCCGTCGACCCCGTCGCCCCCAACTGCGGCCCCTCGCGACCCTAGGCCCGTCGCCTCGGCCCCTTGGCCCCGTCGCCCCTAGCCATGGCCCCTCGCGACCTGCCGCCCCTAACCGCGGCCCCGTCGCCTCTAGCCTCGGTCCCTAGCGACCTGTCGCCCCTAGCCGCGGCCCCGGTGCCCCGTCGCATCATGGAGGGTAAGGGGGTGGCAAGAGGGGTGACGGTTTCTTCCTGCCAGCGTGCCCTGCAGTCGCACGCGCAGCTCCGCCCCCGCCCCCCTCCCCCCCCTCCATGGGGACGGGGTGGAGAGGGTGTGAGGGGGTGGCGGATGTGCCTCAGCAGCAGCAGCTGCCGCCACGCCTCCTCCTCTCTCTCTCCCTGCCGCACCTTGTGTTGGGAAGGGGAGGGGAGCTTGGAGGTTCAGGGGGAGGCAGGAGGGGATCTGCAGCACCAGCCCCCCCCGCCCCCCCTTTCTCCTCCACCCCTGGGGGGTGAAGGATTGTGGAGCAGCAGTGGGGGGGAGGGGATCTGCAGCACCAGCCCCCCCCCGCCCCCCCCTTCTCCTTCCTCCCCCTGCTGCGGGTGCAGCAGTGGGGGGGAGGGGATTTGCAGCATCAGCCCCCCCCCGACCCCCCCTTCTCCTCTCTGTCTCCCTGCTGCGGGTGCAGCAGTGGGGGGGAGGAGATTTGCAGCATCAGCCCCCCCCCGCCCCCCCTTCTCCTCTCTCTCTCCCTGCCGCACCTTGTGTTGGGAGGGGGGGGGAGCTTGGAGGTTCAGGGGGAGGCAGAAGGGGATCTGCAGCACCAGCCCCCCCAGCCCCCCCCCCCCACTTCTCCTCCATCCCCCTGCTGCGGGTGCAGCGGTGGGGGGGAGGGGATCTGCAGCACCAGCCCCCCCCGCCCCCCCCCCCTTCTCCTTCCTCCCTCTGCTGCGGGTGCAGCAGTGGGGGGAGGGGATTTGCAGCATCAGCCCCCCCCCCGCCCCCCCTTCTCCTCTCTGTCTCCCTGCCGCACCTTGTGTTGGGAGGGGGGGGGAGCTTGGAGGTTCAGGGGGAGGCAGGAGGGGATCTGCAGCCCTGTGCGCCCTGCTGCCCTGTTCGCCCCGCGCGCCCTGCAGCCCTGCGCGCCTATTGCAGTGGGGTAAGGTGGGAGGGTGAGGGGGTGGAGGAAGGGGTGTAGTTTGGGGGGTGGCTGAAAGAAGGGTGCGGTTTTGGGGGGTGGTTGAACAGGGGGGGGGGGGTGAGGTTTAGGGGGGTGGCTGACAAAGGGTGTGGACTTGGAGGTTCGTAAGAGGGGCTCGCCGCGCTTGGCTCCCCCCCACCTCCTCTCCTCCCTCTCTCACCCCCCCCCCCCTCTGTAAAATGGAGGTTCGTAAGAGGGGTTTCGCCGCGCTTGGCTCCCCCCACCTCCTCTCCTCATCTCTCTCTCTCTCACCTCCCCCTTTGTAATGAGGGGGTTCGTAAGAGGGGCTAGCCGCGCTTGGCTCCCCCCACCTCCTCTCCTCATCTCTCTCTCTCTCCTCCTCCTCACATGCCCTCTCCTACTTCTGCTGCGCTCTGCCTTGGGTGTACCCCTTCAGGGGGTGTTGACTGCACTGGTTATTGCTATGAACAGTTTAGGGGGTGTGTTGAAAACATATTTTATATAAACTGTCCTTTGCATTAACTGTAGTGTAGGTTCATACTTTGTTGGTGGTGCACCCCTAGCTCTTGCCTATATGTACTGTTCTTCCTATAGTGCATTCATCCCTTCTCAACTTTTCCTCTCGACATCCTCCTTGGCTATGGTTTCTCCTAAGCCTCGTTTTACCTACTATTCTAACAATTGTGATCGTCAATTTCGTCCATGCGTCGCAGATATTTCGTTCTCTTCGCGAATATTTCGTTAGTTTCGTAACTCGAGTTCACCTTTTGGGGTGGTACACTTCCCTGTTGAGTTCGAGCTTTTGCGGGGGGTTCCGCGGTATCGTTTGCCTGCATTTGCAGGCGATATGGCGTTCAAGTTTGCATCTGAAAACACCATCGTGGTGCACTACCTGAACAGTAACACTGTTCTGATAAGACAAAACTCGGTGCACTAGAATGTCAAACTTACATATGCTATAGTCTCTTTAGGCTGTAGCGGGGTAATCCTTAGAGGGTACAACACTTTTGTGTTTGCTACTTGTACCCACCTCCTTTCTAGTTCATTCATTCCTCTCATTTATTCTCACATGGTATAGAGCGGGTTCCCTAGTGGGACCGTTTCTTCCTAAGGGCCCACCACGTTAATTTTTTTTTTTCCTAACCTGCCCGAAGCGCGCTTCGCGCTCTGCCCTCCCCTTCGCGGCCCCCCTTAGCGGCCCCTTCGTGGCCCCTTATCGGCCCCTTCGCGGCCCCTTAGCGGCCCCTTCGCGGCCCCCTTATCGGCCCCTTTGCGGCCCCTTATCGGCCCCTTCGCGGCCCCTTCGCGGCCCCCTTATCGGCCCCTTCGCGGCCCCCTTAGCGGCCCCTACGCGGCCCCTTAGCGGCCCCTTCGCGGCCCCTTAGCGGCCCCTTATCGGCCCCTTATCGGCCCCTTCGCGGCCCCTTCACAGCCCCCTTAGCGGCCCCCTTCGCGGCCCCCCTTATCGGCCCCTTCGCGGCCCCCTTAGCGGCCCCTATGCGGCCCCTTAGCGGCCCCTTCGCGGCCCCCTTAGCAGCCCCTTCGCGGCCCCCCCCTTATCGGCCCCTTCGCGGCCCCTTATCGGCCCCTTCGCGGCCCCGCCCCGTCACCGGTCGCGGCCCCGCCCCGTCGCCACCCGGGTGTCGCCCCTGCCTCGTCGCGACGCCCCTGCGGGACCCGCCCGGCGTCGCCCCTCCTCGTGGCGTCGCCCCTGCCTGCGGCGTCGCCCCTGCCCGCAGCGTCACCCCTGCCCGCGGCGTCGCCCCTGCCCGCGGTGTTGCCCCTGTCAGCGGCGTCGCCCCTGCCCGCGGCGTCGCCCCTGCCAGCGGCGTCGCCCCTGCCTCGTCGCCACCCCTGCAGCAGCTGCCGTCGCCGTCCCTGCTGCAGCAGCAGCTGCCACCGTAGCGGCCCTGCTGCCGCTGACGAGCCTGCAGCCGCCCTACCTGACGCGCCCCGGCCCAGCCCCACCAGTAGTGGCCCACCTCGTCTGCCACTGGTAAGTGCACTGCCGCACCTGCTTGCTGCTGCACCCGCGCCGCCCTGCCTAGCCGAGCCGCCCTGCCGAACCGCCCCACCCTGTTGAGTCGCGCTGCTACTGCTGCTGCTGTAGCTAGGCCACTGTTACTTCCTTGCACTACTGCTACTACTGCTAGTGCTGCTACTGCTGCTACTCTTGCTACTGCTCCTACTGCTGCTATGGCTAGTCCTACCGTACTCACCTTCGATGCTGAGGGACGTGCAGTTGACTTTGACGTGTGGGTTGACGACCTACAGCTTTTTCTTCAGTGTGATTCTAGGGATGGGGTATCCCTTTTTCGATCACACGTCCGGTGTTTCCACCGCTCCTGCTGCCACTGCAGACAGTACAGTTCGCTCGCAGTGGACCACTCGTGACGCCGTTGCTTGTCTTGCTGTTCGTAGTCACCTGCCGCCTGCTGAGCGCGCACATTTTGGCCAGTACAAGACTGCTCAGTCTTTGTACGACGCTGTAGTTGCACGCTACTCCTCCCCCGCCACTGCTGCCCTCAGCCGCCTCATGCTACCGTACCTTTTCCCTGACCTTGCCGCCTTTGCTACAGTTACTGGCCTAGTTGCTCACCTTTGCACTACTGACGCCCGCTACCGCACTGCCCTTCCCACTGAGTTCTGTGCCAAGAACCCCCCCCCCATGTACATCACCCTTTACTACCTAGTCACCCGCCTCCCTGACTCCCTCTCTTCAGTCAGGGATCACTTTCTCTCCCTTTGCCCCACCGAGCTGACTGTCGACCTGCTACAGGAGCGCCTTGCTGCGGCTGATAAGAGTATCTTAGCTGTAGGTGCTTCTCGCGGCGACCGTCGCACCCCTTTCTTTGAGGGGTGTTCCCCTGTCCCCATTCTCCCCTCTGTTGCTTCTGCTGCTGCTGTCGACCTCGTTGGCACTGAGGAGGTCGGAGCTGCGTCTGCCCCTAGTGGGAGACGCCGCAACAGCAGGGGCAAGGGGAGCAAGGGTGGTGGGGGGGGCGGCGGGGGAAGCAGTGGAGGAGGTGGAGGAGGCGGAGGAGGTGGCGGTGGAGGTGGAGGTGGTACCGGGAGTGGGGACGTCAGAGGCGGCGGTGGAGGTAGTGGCAGTGGTGGCGGAGGTGGTGGAGGCAGCGGCAGCGGTGGTGGAGGTGGCGGCGGCGGTGGTGCTGGTCGAGGTGCAGCCGCGCAGCGTGGAGGCTTTGGTGGCAGCCAGCGCCAGCAGCAGCTGCGCTCCCATGACACCCCGTCGGTTCAGCAGCTTCGTGAGTGGTACGCTGGGCATGGGAGGTCTGGGGGTGCAGGTCCCTGCACTTACGTTCTTCGCACCGGCACTCGTAGTGGGGAGGTGTGTGGGCTCCCACACACTACGCAGCGCTGCTTCGGTCGCTTGACTGAAGCTTGGCGTGCTCAGTTTCCTGATGCCGTTGAGCTCCCTCGCTGGCATGATCTGCTTCTGCAGAATGTGCCTATCTTTGATCTAGATTTTGATGCTATCCTTGCTGCCATGTATGCTATTGCTGATAGTGCTGAGGGTGACTGTTACCTGAGTGTCCCGCCCGACCCGGGCATTGCGGCTGCTGCTCTAGGTGCTAGTGCGTCTGCTGCTCCAGGTACTGGTGCGTCTTCTGCTCCAGGTGCTACTGCGTCTGCTCTCTCTGGTACTGCACCTACTGAGTCCTTGCACACTTTCACACTTGACTCTGGTGCTTCGCGCTCTTTCTTTAGAGACAGCACCACGCTCACGCCGCTTAGTCAGCCTGTTGCAGTCTCCCTTGCTGACCCCTCCGGGGGCCCAGTCCTTGCACACTCTTCCACGGTTCTACCGTGTCCTGCGGCCCCGTCGGGCTTGCTGTCGGGACTCCACCTCCCCTCGTTCTCTACGAACTTGGTGAGTGGAGCTGACCTCCAGGACGCGTGGGTTGACCAGTTCACCCCTGGAGGTCAGCGTGTGACCCACTGCACTTGCTCTCGGACGGGCCGCCACCTGGCCACGTTCACCCGTCGGTCAGGGTCGAGTCTGTACACACTGACTACTGCGCCTCCTCCGGTCCCTGCGTCTGGTCAGGTAGCTGCGTCTAGTCAGGTGTTTGCTGCCGCGTCCAGGTCTAGTCCTGCGTCTGCCCCCTGCTCGTGTCGTCCTCTGTCGCACGAGACTCTCCTTTGGCACCACCACCTTGGTCACCCCTCCCTGCCTCGTCTTCGAGGTATGGCCTCCCGTGCCCTTGTCTCGGGTCTACCCCGGTCCCTCCCTCCCCTTCCTCCGGGGCCTACCCCACCTGTGTTCCTTGTGTCGAGGGCAGGCAGCGCGCCGCTCCCCACTCCTCCTCGTTCCCTCCGACTGAGGCTCCTCTGCAGACTCTTCACATGGACGTGTGGGGCCCAGCCCGCGTCCGTTGACAGAGTCACGAGCGTTACTTCCTGCTGGTCGTTGACGACTACTCGCGTTACACCACAGTCTTCCCCTTGCGCAGCAAGGGTGAGGTCCCTGAGGTGTTGATCGACTGGATCCGCGGTGCTCGTCGCCAGCTTAGTGAGAGTTTCGGCTCGGACCTTCCTGTTCTGCGTCTGCACTCAGACTGAGGTGGGGAGTTTTCCTCCGACCTCCTGAGAGCCTTCTGTCGTTCAGAGGGCATCCGCCAGACGTTCACGCTTCCGGCCTCCCCGCAGCAAAATAGGATTGCTGAGCGCCGCATTGGCATGGTCATGGACGTCGCTCGTACGTCCATGATCCATGCGGCTGCTCCCCATTTTCTGTGGCCGTTCGCGGTTCAGTACGCTGCGCATCAGATCAACCTTCAGCCTCGTGTCTCCTTGCCGGAGACCACACCTACTCTGCGGTGGACGGGGAAGGTTGGAGATGCGTCCACGTTCCGTGTCTGGGGATCTCGAGCTTTTGTCCGCGATACTACAGCGGACAAGCTGTCCTCCCGTGCCGTTCCCTGTGTCTTCCTTGGCTTCCCTCCTGACGCACCCGGGTGGCAGTTCTACCACCCCACCTCGCGTCGTGTTCTGTCCTCTCAGGACGTCACGTT